CCCAGTCGGTATATCTCATGGAATGAGGTGGGGGATAAGGTTTATTATCATTGGAAAATCAACAAAAAATCATCGAAATTTTGAATACGTTTAAAATTAAAAAAACATTTATTTGATAAAAAAAGTATACATGTTTATTATATTATAATACTTATACAATTTTTGTAACCTGATTATTTGTATTATTTCTTTTCATTGTCGAGCTGTTTGTAGCCTTTTTGTTCTGGAAATTGACTAGTGTTGGTTGAAAATTTGGAAGTGACTTTTTTCCATGTAGATTGTTTTTTCTTTTCATCTGGGTCTTCTTGGGGAAGACGCGAATACTTGACTGACGGATAACGGTCCATTTTATTCGAATGCTGGCTGATGAATAATCTGATCCTTGCGTTGTCTTATTTATAATAGCTGACAATTACGTTAGTTACACAGCCAAGAGTGTAAATTGGATTCTGTGTTTGATAATTTTCAATCTTGGTTTTCAGAGGTTGTAACACTTTTATGCAGAACCATCTTCGATATGTGTAAGCCGAATAAACAGGAATATATTTCACTTTGAAAAGTTTAACTTTGAATTTGGGATTGGAATCGGTATATTCACGATGTAGATATAAAACTGTGAATATAAAATGTACATCCAGAACCAATTCATTTCGGAGATAATTGTCAATGGTGATGCGAACACATTCAGCAACATATTGTATAAAGACGTTCAGTATGGAATGACTAACATTGATCACTACTTTTGTAGCTAACCTATCAGTTCTAGAACTAGGAATATCTTCCTGAGTAAATTTATGACAAAGACTCATTGAATATTCAGATAAATTGTTCGTTTTCTTATCCTTTGTCATGTACCAGATACCTTTCAATAAGGCTATAGAATATTCAATTATTATGAGATCATGCGTTGATAGGTCGAAAATGTTAGAAAAATGTATCAGGTCCGCACCTTCGTCAATGAGTGACTGTACATAATTCATCGTTGTTTGAACCATAGAATTATCTATATTGTACGGTTTACTAAGATATTCATGCAAGCAGGCTATAGCCCGACTTCAAATGTTGGTACTTAATGAATTCATAATGTGTCTGATGCTGCTGCAGACGGCAAATGAGCTGCGGCGAATGAATCGCGCTCCTTTTGTAACGGCAACTGCGTCATGGAGAGGATAAATGACTCAGTCAACTTATGAATGTCAGATAAAACTTCTATGATTTTCATATCAAGTTCTTCTTGATGAAGATCAATCAATGTATAAGTTTCTTTTAATTCAGCTTTTAATTTTAAAATAGAATCTTTAATATTTTCAATCTCTGTTAAAAGAATCTCATGTGAAGTTTTCAAATTTAGTTCGTCAGATCCTCTGAGCTTGCGTCCAAACACATCAATGCTCATTGTTAAAATGAATAAAAAAAGGTAATGAATGGATGATAAATAGTAAATTGAAAATGCTTAATTTCTTTAAGTTTTTTTATATTTATTGAATTATTGTAACTTATATAAATTCTAATAAGCTGCCGCCAAGATACTTAATCTTAACAATTCTTTTTTCAAGTTGACCGAGCAGAGTATTGTACGATTCCGGGTTCACAATCAAATGTTCGCTTAGTTTGCTGGGAAGGAAAATGTCAAACTCAGCATCCAGTTCGACGACGACTCTTGCTCCGAATTTTGTTTGAACTTTTTTCATGCTAGTGACTGTGTAAAGGATTGAAGGATTCAATTCTTTTAATTTTTTCGTTGGCAAGTAGGATGGGGTACGAGCTACAGCGTTAATAGCTTCCATAATGAAGATTGATACTTACGACATGTAAAATTTCAAATATAAAAAATGAAAAAATTCTATGAGTAACAGTTGACATACAATTTTTGTTTAAAAAGAGTATTCAAGCTATATGAAGTATCTACTGTGAGCGCAGACGAGCGAATGAATCCGTACCTTGATGCTATTGTATATATAGGGTTAAACCGATCATTTTAATTGAAGGCTTTGTACCAATCCCCCACCTCTACTTCATCTTCCTCATCCTCTAAATCTAACATTTTTAGTTTGCTGATCACATCGTAATCATAATCATAATCATCATTATCATTATTCGACTCTGACGTTGAAGAATCGCTGTCAGGGAAGTCGCAAGTCTGACTTAATTGTCGACTATAACGATTTTTCAACCAATTTTTAAGAGCCACGACATTTTGAAGCGCGCAGTTTTCTGTCCAGCCTGGAGGATGATAATTGCAAACTATAGGTTCGCAAAATCCTGGCTGATGTAAGGAAGGGCAACCCAGATCTTCGAGATCGAAGACATGATGAAAAAAACTAGTGAGCCACTCCACTTTTTGACGTCCCTTTACATAAATAAGAACTTTGTCAGTGTCAGTTGCTAAGCGACATAGGTCTTGTATAATAAGCGGATGGCAATCTTATGGTAAGTTTCCTGTATTCCAATCGAGCCCATGATAGTTATTTGTAAGCCATGAATTTTCACGTTTTGAATGACTGGAAAGTTCTTCCCAAGGACATGGTGGCTTGAAAATCTAATGAGCGGGTTCTATATCGTCATTGAGATTTATCATTGCAAGTTCTTTAAAAACTGGTTGATCATCGTTCTTAAAAGCTTGTATATCAACGATAATTTCCATGCCAAATCTATAATGAAAAAAAAATATATTAGACAGAAATATAGTTTAAATAATATGTTAGTTCATTGATTTTTCCAATACCTTGTTAAAGGATTGCAACGTGCCATGATCGCTCGAACCGATGAGTGCTCGACTGAATATGATGTAGCATCGATTTTGACACGCATTTTATACATTTAACCCTTCCCACTTTTTCATATACGTATTAGTAACAGCGCGATAATCAAAATTCGCTCATACGTCTATGTTCATTCAAGAGTCTTTATGAATACGGCTAAGTTCTTTTTATATGCTACAAGAACTCTAGCTCCGAGCGAATATAGTTAAGTCCCTTTAAAATGAATGCGGCTAAATTCTTTTTATATGCTACAAGAACTCTAGCTTCGAGCGAATATAGTTAAGTCCCTTTAAAATGAATGCGGCTAAGTTCTTTTTATATGCTGCAAGAACTCTAGCTCCGAGCGAATATAGTTAAGTCCCTTTAAACGAACTGACGCTAGATGACTTATACTATAGCCTTTCTTTCCAATGCGCACGTGGCTAAGTTTCATTTCTCTCTCTCTGCTATCGACACTTCATCTCTACAGCATATAAAATAGAAAAGAACTTAGAGTGTGAGTGTTACATTTTGAAAATCAAAATTCGCTCACACGTCTATGTCCAATCAAGAGTCTTTATGAATGCGGCTAAGTTCTTTTTATATGCTACAAGAACTCTAGCTCCGAGCGAATATAGTTTGAATATAGTTAAGTCCCTTTAAAATGAATGCGGCTAAGTTCTTTTTATATGCTGCAAGAACTCTAGCTCCGAGCGAATATAGTTTGAATATAGTTAAGTCTCTTTAAAATGAATGCGGCTAAGTTCTTTTTATATGCTGCAAGAACTCTAGCTCCGAGCGAATATAGTTAAGTTCCTTTAAACGAGCTGACGCTAGATGACTTATAACAATTTCTTTCCTTTCTTTCCAATGCGCACGCGGCTAAGTTTCATTTCTCTCTCTGCTATCGACACTTAGTCTCTACAGTATACAAAACAAAAAAAAACTTAAAATCATGCGCTTGCGAAGTGACATAGCTCTATTAGCTATGTCGCACGCTGAAAAACATAAGTTTTCGGTCATATGAGAACTTACACGTGTGAACGTAATATGGTCTTAGCCGTGGAGCAGTGCAATGCGTCACACTCTCCCCTCTCCCAAAAGTTAGCCATGTAGCGCGTGGCTACGAGCTATGCGTGCGCGCTCTCTCTCTCATTCATGAATTGATATAAAGAGCGATCATAATGCACACGCGTTAATTGATGATTGAACAGCATCACGACTGTAGTCTATGAATTACTAAATCAACGCGCTCATTTTAACTTTGAAAAAATTTTCAAGAATTCATTGCTCTAAATGTAATGTATTTGGTCTTGAAAATTTTTTTGAAGTTAATGAAGAAAGTAGTTAGCGTGATAGTTAGGAGCGTGCACGGATGAAAGGACATAACCACGCGTGCGAGTACAAATGGTCTTAATTGCGCGAGTATTAACTGCACGAAAATTTTCTAAGTCCACAACCGGCTGCACGAAAATTTTCTAAGTCAACCGAATGACCTCATCCTCTCGCTGCGAGAGTTCAGAGTTAAATGACTCTGCGTGGAGCTCCCCATCATGAAGTAGCCTTTGACTTCCTATGCATTAATTGATATGTAGGGACTTAGTCGCGCGCGAACATATTAGGACTTAGTTACATACAAGCATATTCGACACTTATGAAATATTACAAGTGTCAATACCCTCACTTGACTTTAACATTTTTTGAAAATTAAAATTTTTTCAATCAACCCTCACATAACTTTAACAATTTTTGAAAATTAAAATTTTTTCAATCATTTTTTTCTTTTGCTATGCATTGATAGATATGTAGGGACTTAGTCGCGCGCGAACATATTAGACTTACGATATATTACAAGTGTCAATATCCTCACTTGACTTTGACAATTTTTGAAAATTAAAATTTTTTCAATCATTTTTCTTAGAATTCATACGTCTAATACAGTTAGTTCATTGCTATACATGTGTATAGTAACGAGTGCTCTCGGTTACGTTAGCTGATCCATAGTCGTCAAAATTTGAAACGTCGCGCCGTAGGTCATGTTATAATACAAATTCTCAAAACAAAAATACATCCACTTTATCTCATTTTTAGTGCATAGTTCGATTTGAAAGAAAGAAAGAAAAAATCTCAGTCAGTGTAAAGCTGTGGTGCTGTTCAAACGTCTGAATTTGAAAGTGAAAAATGTCGCGTTATTCGAGGCGTTATTTCATCCATGAAATATATAAAAGTGAAAATTGTGATCGTGCACATGAACATTTAATGGATCCACGACTTCAGCACTTAGAGATATCACCGTTACATAAGCATGTTGTAAGTTTGTTAATTTTCATAGATTGATATATATGTTTTTTGAAAAGTAGTTTTAACAGTGTAGTGATTGCTTTATTATTTTAGCCACTTAATTTTTATAAACGCGAAACTAGAGAAATTGGAACGCAAACGGAAATAGAAGATCCAAAATCTGTGACTTCGAAAGAAAACGTCACTGTAGAAGTCATCGTTCCTAATGTTGTAAGTATAAAAAAATTTTAACATCGCAATGGAAATGGAAATTTTTGAAATTAATTTTTTTCTAATGATTTATTATTTTGATTGCAGAATTTACAGAAATCACGTGTTGGTGAAAAAAATGAAGAGTCTGCAACTCAATATTTGCCCGTTTCAATGGTAAATTAAAAAAAATTTCAACGTCGGAGTAGAAATTGAATTTTTTAAGTTAAATTAATTTTTTTCTAATTTTAGACACTTTTGGATATTGGTAATTTCATCACCGATTATGAAAAGGTATGTTGAAACACTATTTTATTTTTATAAAAAAATTATTTGCATAACGACTTATTATTCTGATTGCAGGAGGATTTTGAGAAAATGTATAATGAAGAAAAAAGTAATGTGGCTGTAACTGAATATTATCCAGTACCAATCGTAAGTTTTTATTTTCAAAATCATATTTTATAAAAAAATTTTTTGCACACCCATTTATTATCATAAATTTTTCAGAATCCATCAAACAGCTACAGTACAACGAAAAATCAGGATAATACGCAGGCATACGAGGAATATGTTCCCTCTTCAGAGGTAAAATATTTCTTTAATTTCTAACGTTAATTTTTTTTAATTTCTAAAGTTAATCATTTTTACTTATTTATTTTTATAGTGTAATCAGAAGAAACAATATGTGGAATGGAAACGGCAAAATGGAAAAAAATCTAATAAAGTTGCAGATCAAAGTGCAGAGGTACTTATTTTTTATCCTCGTATATTCTTTTTTATTAACATAATTTAAATGAATATATAATGAAAAAAATTCTATTTTTCAGAAACAGCAGCCGGACGTGGTAGACCATTTGGACATTTACCGTCCAAATAATAAAATTGAGTCCTTGCCACGCGTGCCGAAAAAGAAGGATGACAAATTAAAGGATAACTCATATAAGTATGTAGCGTCTAAAAACTCAGTAAAAAGACACGTGACGATACCGAAAACGGACGGACAAAAACAGAAAACTAACGACAAAAAAATTACAAAAAAAACATTACCAAAAATAATAAGTGACGTGAAGACGCGCGTTATATCAAACAAACATATAAATAAGAGTGAAGCGACAAAAACAGACAAAGAACAGAAACTTCTTCACTATTCCACAACACAATCATTAAAAAAAATGTAAAACAGACAGATAAAAATACGGACGCGACGAATACTCGTAAATCGCGACCAAAAATTAGACAACGAAAACCCACTCCTCGTTCAAAGTCAATTATCAGTACCACGAGTTCTGATAATTCACCTCCTCCGAAGAAAAAAAAATCCCCCCCAAAAACTTCTCCAACAAAAAAAACTTCAAGTTCCTCGAGTTCCTCGAGTTCAAGCTCAAGTTCCTCTAGTTTAAGTTCAAGCTCCTCTAGTTCTTCCAGCAGCTCCTCTTCTGAAAATTCTCCACAAAGACAAGACTCCAATGACAAACGTACTCCTCCAGACACTAACACATCTCGACCAAAACCATTTCAATATTCTCGAAAACGATCGAGTTCGTGTTCCTCGATACATAAGCGACTGAATAAGTTTTTAAATTTTAAAATGTAAATATTTTTTATGTACGATTGTAAATTTTGCGCTTTTATACTTTTATACTTTTATACTTTTATACTTTTATACTTTTATACTTTTATACTTTTATACTTTTATTCTTTTATACTTTTATACTTTTATACTTTTATACTTTTATACATTTATACTTTTATAATAAAAAGAATATATTAAAATCTTGTGTTAATAATTTTTTATTAAAAAGTATTAATTCATCTTTAAATTAAACAAAATATGCATCATAAATTTGCTTTATTTTCTTGCGGCAAATAGGACAAGAACTTAATCTGATTGAACACGTGGAGCATGTTGCGATAGGTCCACAAGGTAAAAAAATTTTTCTAAGTTCCTTAGCGAAGCATATTTTGCAAATTCGTTCGTCGCTAACTTTATCGATATTTTCTTCTGGTGATGATATTGTGTTTGAATCTATATTTAATGCAATCGGTCGGTACTCAAGCTCGTATATACTACATACATCAAAACTTGGTGGATTTGGTAGAGGTATGGTACTCGGATCAACTCCGATCGGAATATTACCACAAGGCACGTTGCGAATGAATCGACAGCAGCCACCCCATCGCTGGTGTTCCATCTTAGGATCGTCACCCTCTTCCCAACGAAAAATCTCTATCTTACACTCGAAGCATCGGACTTTGTTAATTTCATTCACAAAGTAAAATCCGGTAGCTGCTAAATCCTTAGGCTGCACATATGAGCATGGCCAGTTGTCAAAGCTTTGCAGCCTAACTTGTTCAGATCTGGAAAAAATGAATTTGTAAGAAAAAAATTACTAAGAATACTTTAAAATAATTACCTATAGTCTGACATGGTTCTTCAATGCGAGTATTACTGCATCTAAATTAAAAAAGCACTTGCACACAAATTTAAAGCTGTACCCCCTCCCTTTGTTAAATATGTATATAAATGAGATTTCCTTTGCGAATGTGATCATTTTCTTGTCATCTATCAAGAAATATAGAAGCTCAAAATATGTTATCCAAAACACGCTCAAGACATCAATAAATTCTGCTTTCCAACTGTAAGAACGTTAGTAGAGTTGCTTATGGAGCTGGAAGAAGAAGAAGCTCAATCCGACATAAAAATACTTAGTGATGATAATGATGATGATGATAATTATATTCAAAATGAAGAGTCTGAGATAGGAACTTCAGATACTTGTAGTACATGTGGTGAAGAAGATTAATAACATATATATATAAAATATTAGAAGTCGATCTCAATTCATTCTTGATCGATATCTGCAACAGTCAACGTCTATGCTGAAAACAAAATGGAAATTTTACAAAACTGTTTGGAACACTTCCATATAATTGAAAGAGCTGTAAATCTTATTATTTCTAAAAACCTACGTGATGAAATAATTATAGAACGATGGAAAAAACAATGTGTCTTATCTTTGCGAACTTTGAAAAAAATTTTGAGACAGTCATTATCGCTTAGTGTGCCACAAAAACAATCATTGCTCAGTACCATTGGTAAACTTGAATGTATTTATTTAAGACTAGAAACTTGTAGAGTTTATGGAAGAGGTTTGGAGGATAGTATAAAAAATCGTATACAATGGGTGGACTTGGAAAGCGCATTCGAAAACCGTTTGAAAACTAGTATTATAGCCAATATTCAACACATTGATATTGAATTATTCTTAAAAGATGCTTGCGATTTATTTGCAAGACATGTCAAAAGTATTTTAAGTAAAATTAATGCTGTACTATCATGCAAATTTTTGAAATATTCAACTAATCAAGATAAATTGAAAAAATCTTTTGACACAAAGCATTTTACTACTCGAAATATTGAAGTATATCCTTCAAGCTCTCTCAAGAAATGGTTTGATGATAATATTAAAAGTCCATTATTAAAAGATGTGGAGGAATTTGAAAGTAACGAGTCAGGTTGGTCTTTGGATTCTATTATGAATCTTTAAATTAATATTAATAAATTGAATCCAATGCGAAGTGGAAGTTCTTATATACCTCTACCAACATTTTTAAAAAACAAGCATGCTTGTATCAATGTAGAAAATAATGATAAGAAATGCTTTATATGGGCAATCTTAGCAGCTTTATGTAAAATTAAATATTAAAATCATCCTCAAAGAGTAAGTCATTACCCTTATGACGAAGAAATTTAAATCGTCATACTCTCACCAGCTATAATATAATATTCGATAGAAGTTTGTAATATGTATAGCTTGTTTACAGTTACGCAACTGTACGAGAGAGAGAGAAGACGTAAACAAGATGAGAGAGAGGGTAAGCTGGAGAGAGAGAGCTGGGCGGGGATGAGATGGGAGAGCAGAAGAGATACGCTGGTGGCGAGCTCGGACGTTTTTGGGAAGATCGCGAAACAAGGAATACGATTACCTCGGAAAATACTGTGCGGGAGAACGAACCGGAGGTGGTTAGCGAGAGCGTGCGTCGTGCGTGTGTGACGGCCGATCCATTTTGGAAAATCTGCGAGCGTACGCGCATATTCGTAAGTGCCAGCTCTTATCATATAGCAACTCTCTCTCTCACGTTCCAACGTTCTCTCCCTTTCGAATATTGCTCGTCGAGGAGCATTCATTTGTAATTTTCTCTATTCTAATTCTTTTTATTTAATGAATAAACGTCTATTGTTTCGTTATTGAAAATACCATTTGGCTCTCCCACTTATTTGCTGACACCTTCCTCGCAAAATTAAGGACCCTGCCGCCTCCGCAAACACGAGTAAGCCCGTGTTTTAAAACTGCGCTAGCCGCTGCACAGTAGACCAGTGCAAGGTCTGCAACGTCTCGCGAACTCGCGAGAAACGAGACGAAAGTCTCGATTGTTTACGGTAGGTTTATTCGCGAATTCCGCATAAACACGAACTATTCAAAAAATTAACCGCACCGTTACACCCTATTGAAAAATTCCAGCTGGAAATCCAGGCGGGATATCCAGCTGGAATGCTATAGATTCCATATGGATTTTTTCTGGATTTCCAGGATGGATATCCAGCAAGAATCCAGGATGGATATCCAGCAAGAATCCAGGATGGATTTCTCAGCAAATCCAGGATGGATTTCTCTGCAAATCCAGATGGATTTTTCGGCAAATCCAGGTGGATTTCTCGGCCAATCCAGATGGATTTCTCGTCAAATCCAGATGGATTTCTCGGCAAATCCAGGTGGATTTCTCGGCCAATCCAGATGGATTTCTCGTCAAATCCAGATGGATTTCTCGGCAAATCCAGGTGGATTTCTCTGCCAATCTAGATGGATTTCTCGTCAAATCCAGATGGTTTTCTCGTCAAATCCAGATGGATTTTTCGGCAAATCCAGGTGGATTTCTCGGCAAATCTAGGTGGATTTCTCGTCAAATCCAGATGGATTTCTCGAGATTGCAAATTATTTCCATATAACGAAAAATACTGAGGTGTAAATTTGTTTTTCCTCATCCCCTTAAGGGGATCCAGTAGCTCTATTTAAACTCCATGTAAAATCCTAACCTTCCTACACTTCTCGAAGAATACAAACTGCTTATTCAGTTTTCAATTTTGTGTAATTATTTAGATCATCCACCATTCAGATTTACTCAAGGAATGCTGGATGATACTTCTATTAACAAAAAAAGGAAAACTGAATGCGCAAAATGTATTCTTCGAATCATAAGTTAGGTTAGGTTAGGTACGGTTCGGCGCTCTGGCTACTACATCCCCTTAAGCAACATCGAAATGGGGTAGGGAACTGGTAGGAGCGTTTAAAGCAACGGAAGGCGGCATCACGATCAGGCAACTAGCAGAAGGCAAAGAAGGAGAGAACCTAATAGAGAGACTAGATAAGATGATCGCGACAAAAACGGAGCAGGAAATGCAGTTAAGCTGGAACAAGATCGACAGGTCGGGGTACTGGAAATAGTATAAAAGGTGAAAGACGGAAATCGTCATGGAAGAGTACTGGCAGGAAAAAGGAGTGGAAGGACGTCTCAAGGGACAACGGTCAAGATTGTAATTGTGAAGTGCCCGAGTGTGTATTATAGATATTGTAATGTTTATACTATTAAGTAATGTAGGGGATACAATCTGTAAAAAGGAGGGTAATGTAAAAGGCGATTACGCTGTACATTGTAGAAACAAATAAATAAATATAAACATCTAAGATTTAAACATAAAAAAAATATCAATGAAACAGTTACCTTCGCTCGAACTTCTGTACTTTGCTCTAGTTCTTTCACCCTTTCTTCAAGAAATAAATTTCTTATCTGTAACCTTTCATTATTAATACGATAAGTAACTAATTTTTCTTGGAGTATATCTAGAGAGTTCTTCAACTTGTCTTTGCTAAGACGTAGGTGCTCAATATCACTTTCTAGCTCTTTGATCTTATCATTTCGCTTATTCAGACTTGAATTCATCGTTGTAGAAACTCGTGGTATCTCCATAAAAGGTGATACAATAGTACAGCTTGACTTTTCGTCACATACATTATTATCAATAAAAAGAGTGTCACCAGTTTTAAAGGTTTGCAATTTTTCCAATATATCTTTCTGCGCATTTTTATTGCATTTCTGAAATCATCAGCAGTATTATTATATAGGGCATATAGTATAGTATAGAATATAGGGCAGAAAAAGACATTTGGAGAAGTGAAACTCAAGTTTGGAATTTACAGATACTGATTTTCATTGAGGTCACATACATTGGTATCAAATATGTATAGGCTATTTCAAAGCGACACAGCAGACAGAAATTTACTACTCGTTTATTTAAAACTTGTTTGAAAATAATATTTTTACAATCGCTGTATAAATAAATGAATTAATAAGTGCATGCCCTATCATACTCTATGTTGAAATTTCAACGGATTAACTTTTATCCATACATATTGAATCGCTAAAAGAGACTGCTGTAACCGCTGAGATGGCCTATAGCTGACTTATTTTTAGTAGGAAAATAAATAAGCACAAAAAGAAGTCTCAAAAAATAACAAAATTGTATAAATATTCAAATCACAAACTGCAGCTGTTTCAGTTCCTTATCATTTATATTGCTTATTACCTTTTTCATTTCAATTTTTTCCCTTTCACCATTTTCAATCTCCTCTTCTGATTGCTCGCCGTCATAATATTCATCAACGACTGATCTGTTGAGGACATTGAAATTTCCTCTTTTTTTATCAAATTTCTCGTACTCAGAAACTGTTGTGATTACTACAAAATAATTATTATTATTAAAACGAAATGAATTTAATCTTCACAGTGGCTCTCTTCCCAAAAAATGAACAGAAACAACAATTGTAGAATGGTTAAAGAAATATATTTTTTAGTATACTATAGAAGAAGGAGCAACAAACTACAATCCCGCAAAAATTATTTACGCCCTTTCGTCAAACCACCCACTGGAAAACTTTATAGCTCAAATAGCTCAAATCATTCTCAAATTGCACTGTGCGAATGCATCTCCCACAAATTACACCGGTCTAGTCGTTTGTGATTTTCTTGGCTGAGGCATGTATAATAAACATTTCGTTCACACAGTGGATATGCGAATTAGATATTACATTGAACTGGTCCCGGTATATTCTTAAAAAAATTTATTCGTGTTGCCTGATATTTATAACCACAGTTATGATTATTCAATTATTCAATTTTTTATAAGTTGTTTGACAAAATTCTGTAAGGATTGTAATCATTCATTCGTAATTTCTATTTCATAAAATAAGACTATTCTCAAATTGTTCAAGTATTATAGGTTCTTTGATAGTCATCAAGGAAAAAATTAAATAAATATGTGAAAAAGTCGTTACTTTACTACAGCAAAATTATTGAGTTATATTTGCATCTTATTCTAAACTCTACTTATTATTATTTGTGGTTTTTTCTAAGTGGTCTGTTTATTTTTTGAAAAAAGTGCTATAGTTGAACGCAACAACTGTTATCTATATCTTACAATTGATTTATTTAATTTTTCAAATCCTAATTTTTTTATTTTTGAATGTTTGAAACCTTGAGCATGTATTGAATTTCTTAAGCAATATGAGAAGATACTGAATAAGAGGGATGCTTTTACAGAAATAACTTTTCAGTTATTAGTAAAACATTAAAAGTCATAGCAGATCCTTCTACTACCATGAAAAGATTGAAAAGTATAAGTACACGAACACTGCCTTATATTTTTAGATATAATTGATAATCTTGCAGCCAATTATGTTTCAGAAGA